GTTCTCTCTGCCCCTACTCTGCTCTCACTGTTTTGCCTGTGAACTTGATCCATTATTTCAATAGATACTCACTGCTTTTTCTGTAATGTCTGATTAGGTATTTTTTCTGTGGAGTTCCCCATTTAATCACCTGCAGAGGAAAAACTTCAAATCAATACCGACCTTCCATACCTGAACTTAGGTCATTGCCCATTTCTTTGTGATCTGGTATGTGAGGTTTTGCTTGGATTAAAGAAGTTTTTTAAAAAGTGTGTTTTCCTCTGCTTCTAAAGGTGCTATTTTGACATAATTTTGAATTCCTTACACTGTGCTTGACTTTTTAAAGTACCAATATAAGCTGGTAACCAGCTTGTGTTTGTTCTGTGTAGTTTTTCTTTGAGTATTCAATCTCTATTTTGAAAAGCATCCCTTTTCATAGAGACAGCTTCCAAACTGTCAAAGGCCTTAATACAAAATGTAATGAGAAAATGCTACCTTTTTCCTTTCTTTGTAAAGGCAAAACCAAGAAATGCTTCATGGAGAACATCTTCCTCTAAAATTTTGAGGAGCAGCTCCTACTAACTTTGAATTCAATGTAGCAAACAATTTTAGTGGCCATGCTCAAATAGTAGGGGTGAAACAAGGAGCTATTCATAACTCTGCAGACTGTAGCAATTAGCTGCTAATTCCAGAGCCTTCCATTAGCATCATGGTGGCTATTCCATAAATATTAATCTTCCCAAGACCTGGCTGCGTGTCTGGGACACGCTGACCGATGTGGCTGGCAGATCACTGGGATGTTGGACCCGGTGTGGGGTTTGTCTCAGACCCCTCCTGCTCAGCCCCTCCGGGTTTGGGTGCCACAGGTGCTCAGGAGGAAGGAGGAGGGAAGCTCCCAAGTGCTGCCATTGCAGTGACATTGGCTTGGACACTACGAGGAGAGGCTCTTGTAGACACAAGCCACGGAGGAGAGAGCTGAATTTTAGTCCTGCATAGGAATTTTGTTGTTGTCCTTCGTGTGCTGTCTTTATTTTTGTTGGATCCATATCATCACTTTGGCTTAGGCATTTGGTAACACTGCTACAGGAAGGCTTTTCCTTCTCTGAAGCACATAAAGTCCTGCTCCTACCCTGTCTGAAGCAGTAGGAAGGATCAAGGGTTGATGTTTGAATTTGTCCCATCTCCAGACAGCAGGTTATTTATTGCCTTTATAGGCTCTGCAGCATTTCTCAGTTGTGTTAATCTCGGAGCCCTTTAGCCTTTTGAAAAGAGTCCAGAGACTGCCTTGTCCTTCTCCTTCACACGTTGGGTGCTGCCCTCTGGGCCACCCGGACTCATCCAGGCTGTCACTGTAGAGAAGCCACCGGTTAGTGGCCTCACAGGAGTATCTGTGCTACCTGCAGCACTTCTGAAAAGCAGCTGATAAATGAGGGGCCATGGAGAAATTACTGAGCTTGCAAATTCCTGATCCTCTCAGTCTAGGGAAGGCTGAGGAGCAGCATCATTCCTTGCCTTGCAGCTGCTCCCTGCTGCACAGGTAAGGATGAGCCTGCACTGTCCCTTACATAAGGGTGAGGTATAAAGATTTACGGGCTGTTATAGGAAATCCACTGTTTTGCATTTGTTGTATTTCAATCTGAATCTTCTGGAGCTATGAAACTGTGGGTTCTGGAACTATGTCTGCAGTGTGGAACCACAGGTACTGGCCTAAATAGCTGGGGAGCTTCTGGCCACCTGTTTTTCCACTGCATTTTTTTTTTTATTTATTTTTTTTTTAATTTTTTGAGAAACCAGAGATGTGAAACTGCATCCCAGTTTGTATGTCCACAGCTTCATAATCCAGAGTGGGAGCCTGATAAGCTGGAATTGTTTTTCTTTTACCTTCAGAAGGAAAAACTAAAATTTCTTCACATTAGATTCTCTGTCTTAAGAGTTTTCCTTCTGTAAATCGTATTTATTGAGTTCTATGAATTTTGTGGGATTGGGTTAAAGAATATGAATACGTATTATAAGAATGATAACTAGTGTACTTAGTCAGACTTTGTACAGTATATATACTCTATTTTATCTTAAGAGAATGAAACAACTATTGAATAATCCAATTATGATAGCTGTATTCCATGAACCAAGTAACAGGAGGGTGTTGGAATGTGATGTCACATTGCTGCCACTCTCCTAAAGGTTCAGTGTCCTGTCAAATCTGAGATCTTGATAATTACCTGGATATTGTCAGAATATATTGCCACTTTTTCTACAAAAGGCACATTGGTGTGGTGAGGTAAAAGCACTCACCTCTTGTTTATCATCTGTGGCATGCAGCTGGACAGCAAGGGTTATCCCCATCATCCAGCTGTCCTTCTCTGACTCCTGTTTTACAGATGTGGTTACTGTTACAGGCTTTTTATGTGCGTACCTGTTCTGTAGGTCATTCTGTGCTTTGTGTGGGAATGGAGTTTTAGCTTTTGTGTGTCCACCCCAAAATCTTTAGAAATGAATTGAAGAATCACTTTGGGCCAGGGTTTGGAATGCTCTGATTGGAGTATGTTGAGTTACTTCTGTTTAAAACAGGGAAAAATAAGACATAAATGCTCTTTGACCTCAATCAAACTATGCAATACAGCACACCAGAGAGCTGAATTCCTTGTGATACAGAAGTGCAAGCTCCTGTGTCCTTCCAAACCCAGTCCTTGGTCCAAGGTTAGGAGAGCTTGTACTCAATGGCTGCCCAAGAATCTTGTATCCAGATCAACTCTAGTTCACTGCTTTTCCTCCTGCCCCCTTGCCTGGCCTGGCAGTTTATCCAGGTCAGGCTGTTGGGTGTTTTGGCCTGGAATGATGTGATCTCCAAGTGTGCCCCTCCTGTCGTCCCGTGGTGTTGTCAACTGGAGCTTGTCCTGTAACCCCACCTGTGTGGCTTTACCCGCTGGGGCCACTTCACCATGTTTGCACCTCCCTGCCCTAGAGCATGTCAGGTGTTTGGGGCTTGCTGTGCCCCCTGGATTGGTGTTGTCTTGCTTTCCCTGTGTCTGTCACTTGTGGATCTGGTGCTTACAGTAAAGAATCCCTGTGATGTCTCAAATCCAGTCCAAGTACATTTTCATGTCTGCTGCTTCTGTACGAGTTTGATTTTTCTGCTTCTGTGGCAATTCAGGAATAAATGCCCATGTGGTCAGGACTGCTGGTAAAGGTTCTTTGTTCTCCCATTGCTTCATTTTTCCAGTGTAATTTGTTCCTTGTGTTCCTCTTCCCCCTGTTAGAAAACGGGTACAGTTTTTCCTGGTTCTGCCTCTCATGAGGAGCTCTCCTTTCCCAGGTGATCACAAACTCTTCATTTGCTTAACCCACCCTGGACTCTACTCTACTCCCTCTACTATTTTGTCTCACTTTAATTCAGATTGACCTTGATTTCTTTCTCTGATTCCAAAAAGGGATTTTGGTGCATAACCTTTGAGACAAGCAGGAAAGCTGTCTCTGCAGATGTCTGTGTACATCCATTCCCTCCCCAGCACATGCAGTGTAAGGGGCTCAGCCTGTTCCATTCCTCCCCCCCAGGTTTTTCCTTAGTGCTAAGCAGACCACAGGCTGAAGCCATTTCTTATTTCTTTTGGTAATCGAAAATATTAAGAGATTTTCTTCTTCAGAAATTGCCACTGCAGATGAGCAGCTGGCATGAGAGAGGGTTGTTATGCTTCCATATTCAGTATTTTTAATTGAGGAACAAATAATTTATTTTGGGGAAAAATGTAAATTATTTTGTATTTGTATGTCAAAGTGGCCTTTATAGGAAAAGCACATAAAATATTTAGATTAAAATTGCTTAGTTGTGTAATTTCAGTGGGGATTTTTGTATTGACAGGGTTTCTATGCATTTTTCAAAATACACTTGCTGTTTTGTGTTAGAATTATTGGAAATCTTTTTAAAAACATGTATTACCACATTTTCCATGGTTGATCCCTTTACTATCATTCCTTTTGAATACTAAAAAGATTTTAATTAACCCTGTAAATTAATTTTCCCCCACAAATATTTGCATTAAGTCAATAAAATGAGTTATAGCATGGGTATGTAGCTTTAAGGGAATAAGCCTTGTAGTACAGCTTAATTCTGGAGAGATGTTTGCAGAAGGGTGGTACAGCAGCATTTCAATTGCTCTTAAAACACTAAATTAGGAAATTAGGTTCTTGCTGTACCTCACTTGGGTTTTATTAAACTGTGTCCATCCTGTATTGTTTACACTTGAGCATTATTTAACTGTGTATTATTTGTGCAGTTTGCAGTTCTCTGTTCTGTTGGGATTATGTGAACATTAACAGATAGGAAAAGTTTTGGAGTGTGTGGTGTCCTCATGGGTTTGACGTGGGTTTGGGGAGGGAGGAGAAAGGAAAGTTAGATCCATTAGTGTATTTTTTCCATTTATTTATGTACATGTTTTCACATTAGCTGAGACTGAACAACTGAACTTACAATTGAACTGTGAGTAAAATCAATGGTTTGGGGGTGGGGGAAATGAAGGGGTTGCAGAACTCCAGGCAAAAACCCTTTAAATTGCACTGTGGTACAACTGCCCTGACTGCCTGTGCAAAGCATAGCCTGAGGGGATACATCAGACCCTGCTCAAATTGCTCTGGTTTTACTTTCTCTTCCCTAGGTGTTGCTGCAAGGTTTGCTAAGTAGGACCTTCCCAGGAATGTCTATCAACTGAGACTTGAGTTTTATCATTTTATGTTTTTAGTTTTAATTTCCATTCTTGTTTCTCTTTCATAGGAGATCCCACATGTTCACAGGTTAGTATAAGTGCAGGCTTTCAGGTGTAGCACCAAATGAGTGTTTCATGCAACCATGCATTCTGTAATTGAAGAAAAATGTGCAATTTTAGTGGCACTTTGACCCGTTGCTGAAACACTGGGTTTTGCAATTGAATAAACTCAACAACTGAAAACACTCTGGATCTTCATTAGATGTCTTGAAAGTGAAGCAAAAGGCAGTTACTCCAGTTGTACCCATGGATAATTTGGTATTGTTTTTTTTTTAAAAATAGTTTTGTGGTCTGTTTTTAGAAAAACACTCATTTCTTGGTTTACTTTAGTTGCCATAAATTGCCTAGTGCAGAGTCTGGTCCACCTCCATTCGTTTATTTTCATGGAGTAGTTGCACAAAACCTGGTAACAGCAAAGTAGGAAAGCTCTTTGGTTACTCACCAGTAGCTTCCCTTGCAGAATTGCTTCGTGGCTCACACATGGTATGAAAAGGGACACGGGAATTTTCCTGGATTCACTAGCACTCGCTTTGTTTACGTGTTCAGTAGGACGTTGGGTGACTAAAGGGAGGCTCCCTTTTTAAAGTATTTGACTTGTGCTTTGAGGACTTAGTTGCCACTGTGCAAATTGTGCTGTAATATTGTACCAAGGATCAGTGAAAGTGTTTTATCTTTTTTAATGTTGTTTGTATTTGACTGGGTTTTATAAATGTAAGAAAACAGAGTGTTGTATTTTGATCTGAAATTTGCGTATGGTAAAAGTAACTTTGCTTTATGTATCGGAGGTTTGTTCAGAACTTGAATCATTTTATAGAAGGGTACAGACCAAAATTAATTGTCTTAAAGGTGTTTAATAAATTAACCAAATAAAACATTGATTGTTTGAAAACTTGTTAACTGCACCTTCCGCTTTTGTTTTTTATTTTTAAAAGGAAGAACGTAGTTCAAGATTTTCTCTCAAGGTCTTACAAAAAGTGAAAAAAAAGAAGTAGATTTTATAAATATCATCTCCCATGAGTTATCTGTTTTATTATTAAACATTCCAACATGCCAGAAGTTTAATCAAAGGGGAAAACCCAAAGGAAATAAATGGAGGAGGAAAGGCAATGAGGAAATGAGGGGAGGCAGGATCAATCCCTCCCTGGCTCTGCCCAGGCAGTAAATGCTTGTGGTTGCTGGGCTGTGGATGTTGTCAGTGGCCACCCCAGAAAAAATGGGAGTGGGAAGGAGCTTCTGCTCACCTGGAAAAGCTCTCATGTTTGTTTCAAGGTACCCATTCTCCCCAGCACTCGTCCCCTTCACAAATACTGCTCTTCCATGTGACCTTTCAAAGCGGAGGAGAAAAGTATGTGAAGCATAACTGCTCCCAAGGGCAGGTACAAACAGCTCCTTCCAGGGCTGCCTGATATTCCAACCCTTGGCTGTGTCACAGCGTGCAGACGCAACCCCTGCAAGTTCAGAGACCTGCACATTTTTAAGATGCCAAGCAGCTGCAACTGCAGTTGAGCAATGTTTTACCTTCGTGCTGCCCTGCTCCCTGCACTGGGGTACCAGCCCTTGCCTCAACTGGGGCTGCCTCCCCTGGGTTTGATCTTCAGGAAAATACCCAGAGCTCTTTCTACCTTTTCCTAAACAAAAGGAGTGAGGCAAGGCCAAATGTGAGGTAGGAGTCAAGGAAAAGCTGAGGTTTGGGGCAGCTTGGGCAGGGGGAGAGAAGGGGGAAGGCAGCATCATGGCTTCAAAGCAGAGTGCAGAAACCAGGTGCTGTAAATATGTGTTCTATAAGATGGTGGGAACTAGGACAGAAAAATGAATATTTGTTTTATAAATCCCTGTTCTTACTTAGTTCCACAGCCATACCAAGGTCCAGGACTGCCAGCCAGGTTGGTGCAGGGAGCCTGAGGCCTCCAGGGTAAACACAGACTGATGATAGGGAATCTCATGTTGATTTACCCTTGTTGATGGTGTTCCCATGGTTATGGCTGCACAGATGGGCTCTGCCATATCTCCCCTGTCTTACTGAGTCTTAGAAACAAAGACAGGAGAGTGAACTTGGATTTATCTTTATTCCACAGCCTGGAATCCTAACAGAAAAGGAAGAGGGCTGCTGCCTGGTTTCCTTTACCTCTTATGCACAGAGGAGATAGAACTTCAGAAGTGCCCGTTTCTGCCACTTTTTAACCCCTCAAATTTTTTTCCTTAAGTCTCACAGGAGAAATCCAGAACTGGTTCCTCAAACAGGATTTTCAGCTGAAGCTCTTAATGCCTGGGAGCAAGGCCTCTCTGTGCCTCCTTAACTGCAAGGTACTTGCCAAGAAAGCAAAGTACTGAGTTTACACAACTGGACTTGTGACTCTGGTGATTTCTGTGTCACAGGGAGTCACAGTTGTTCACTAGCTTCTACCTCAGCCTGAGAGAGGAGTGTCCCATCAGCTTTCTCCTGGCAGGAATACACTAGGAGAGGCATGCAGTTGGCAAAGGATTCCTTCAGGTTGGAGCTGCTGTGGAGGCATCTGGGTGTGTGAGCAGCTCCAGCTTTGCTGAACCAGGCTCTTCCCAGGGCTGGTGCCTCCTTGGTAAGAGGTGGCAGCTGTGTCCTTTGCACAGCCCACGTTTTGGAGCCATCTTTCAACAGGCTAAGTTTTCCATGTGAAGAACAAGCTTCTGGCCTTCAGAATCTCAAGCAGTGAGACGCTGCTGTTCACTAAGGTCCATCTTATTGAGTTGTCCCTTTGCACAATGATCACTGGAAACACTAAAATTAACAGAATTAATTGCTGTTCAGAATTCAATACCACTTTTTGTCTGGAAGCAGCTGTAAAGGCAGAAGATTAATGTGGAGTCATTTGAGCTGAATGTTTTTGCCACTCCACAGATTTCTTTACTTCAGGTGAAGCCAATAGCAGCAGGATCAGAGCTGTTACTTTTGCTTTTTCCCCAGCATATTTGGGCATGCACAAGCCAAGCTTTGTCACATGTGGCCTCTAAGGAATCGTGAACCCCAACACTGTGGGCTGGGCTGAAGGAGTTGGCTAATGGAGAATTTACGGTAAGAGCAAAATGTATTTTTAACCACCAGGATATGCTTATCGTCAGGAAAGGGCAAGCAGCACTCCTATCTCTCCAGGGAAGGGGAAGTGTTGAGCGTGACTTTATTTTTTTCCAACTCCTTTTCAAACTGTGAAAGGGTTTTTTTCTTGCTGAGACATGTAGTTGGATTAAATCAGGGAGTTACACAGACATCAATCCTGGGTCACAGGTGAAAAATATTAAATGCCAGGCATGCAGTGTTTTTCCATTGCATGTGATGTACGTTCAGGAAAGACCTTTGGAAAGAGTGCTTTGAAACGAATCTGTTTTGTGTTTTAAAATACACCAAGAGCCCATCCAGAAGCTTTTAATTTTTTAGGAAAGCTTTGATGTTTTCTGTGCTGAAGAGGAAAGCAGATTCCCCTCCTTGTACCCCACCCCGTGCCTCTGGAACAAGCAGCACATCAGGTGCCTGAGATCCTGGGCTGCTTTTTGGTTTGGGGTGCTTTGCCCAGAAGGGCAAATGGACTTGTCCCCTTGTTTGTCACTGCCTGCTCGGACTCTGCCACCCGGGACACCTGCGCTCGCCACCCGAGGCGAGTCCAGGCTTCTCCTTTCCAGCAGCAGGGCCCTGACATTTTTTATTTTCCACAGCCGGCGCTGCTCTCCCTTTCCATAATCCTGCCCGGCACCAGGAAAGCCTTTGAACGAGGGAGACACCGCGATTTGCTCGCAGGACCCAGCACCGATGCCTTTCAGGCCACCTAGGCAGGAGGGGCTTGGCTGATCCTGCAAATACCTGCTTGCCTGTTTTAGTCAGCGGTTGGAGTCACAAAGGAAAGAAACGCTTTGAAATGCTAAAAGCTGCCTGACCAAAGGGACGGGCTGAGGGTGTTCCCACCTGCCTCGTTCCATTCCTACGTGCGCTGCCCACCGCCTCCAAACCAGTCTCGCCTGTCCTCCCGCTGTGTCCTCAGCAGCTGCCGGGCCTCCTCTCCCCTTCTCCCGGCTCCCCGTCCTCGGGGAAGGTGTTGGGGTCCGTGGAGCTCAGATTTAAAAGCCCGGGCACAGAAACAATGGCGCGGTGCCGGAGGCGAGGCCGGGGCGAGGCGGCCGGCAGGGCTCAGTCAGGCCCATCGGGGCCTCGGATTTCCCTTCAGCGCTGGATGCGGTGACCCGGCAGGGATGGGGAGGGGAGGTCGGCTGGGTTTGTCCCGCATCTCTTCCCCTGCTGTGGCCGTGTGTGAGGGTGAATCCCGGCAGAGTGAGGGGCTCCTCGGGCCCCTCAGCACCTTGGCAAGGGCCTGTCTCTCCCCATCAGCTGCCCGTGGAGCTGAGGGCAATGCTCTCCTCTGCGAAGGGCTTGTGCTTCAGGTGGGGTGTTTCTTTGACTCTTGCTATCTGTGCTTCAGGAGGTTTTGCTGATTTGCAATTAAATCTCCTTTCATGTTGGTTTTAATTGCCTTCTCAGTTCCCCATACTACAGAGTAATGCTGAAGAATACATTTTTAGCTTTTCAATTCATCTCCTCCTCATTTCAGCTGTGTCTGTGCTTTTCTCCTTGCTGTTGTAGTGTGAAATATTCAGGGAGAAATGTGAGATTCCCTCATCTGAAAATCATGTACCACATCTTAGAGCTTGCCATGAGGCACGGGAATTTTCCTGGCTCTACCTGCTTTGAAGAGCAAACAAAGGAAAGCTGCAAGCACTACAGTGTCTGGTCTTGGCAGATGCTTTGGAGACCAGCCCATTTTCATGTAAATTAGGTTGTTGCTATTAGTTTATTTTTTTTTTTCCAGACCTGAGTGATTCCTCGATCACTTTTCCATTTTCATGAAGCAGTTCGTGAATCACATACATGTAAAATGAAAGAGTTAGCAAATGTTGCTTCCCTTTGATGTAGGGTAGTCCTGCCTTCTCTGTTCTTAACTGCTCCCTGGAATTTTCCATCTTAATATGAACATTTCAGTGAAAGGTAACAAAGAAATCCCCTCACTACTTTGTACCTGTTTAAAGAAAACAGGTAGGTTGTGAAAGCTAAAATGAAAACAAAACTGGTTTGCAGCTGAATGGTTGTGTAACCCCCAATGTTAAGAGATGAGAGAGGAAAGGGCCAAGGAAGAACATTCAGAGACAAACCCTTCAGGTGTGAGACAGAGGCGAAGGTTAAACAGTCCCTGCTCAGGGACTCCTGCTCCTGTAACCTTGTGCCATTGTAGCATTCTCTTGTGTTGTAAAAGTGGCTTTAAATGCAGACATGCTCCATTTGTCTCCATTTGGAGATGTAACATCAGGATCAAGTGCACCACAACTCAGTTCAATGTTAACATCTTTTCCCAACCTTTTTTCCTTCATGCTGATGGCGTTTTATGTTCTTGAGATATTAGTTTGGTGGCTCCTTTTTTTTTTTTTTTCCTTTAATCCAACCTGTTCCTTGGAGCTGATGCAATTAAAATGGCACCACCCTCAGACTCGGAGATGACAGATGCTTCTTGGATTTGCTTTTCTTTGTGCACATTGTTATAAAGGTCCTAAAGATTAACTTTTTCTTGCCTAAATAGATGCTAGGAATAACTTAGGGGTAGTATAGCTGTTGGCTACTTTATCATTGACTTATACCTTCCTGAAAAGGAAGGTATAATATTATTCCAAATTTTTTTGTATCTGTAGAAGTGAATTTGAACAAGAAGTCTTCTCTGTTTCCACTTTTTCAGTCTCATTGGCGGTGTGGTGAGAGAACATCTTCCTACAGGATTTCCCTGGTACATTCAGTTCTCTGGATGTGCTTTGAATTTGTGGTTAAATGAAGAGATGTCCTTCTTTCTTTATGACTGCATTTAACCATTAGGAAAGACAGTAACTGAGTTGGAGAATGCTAGAATGATGTTGTTTACTAAAGGAAACAGCGATCATAACAGCCACAGGCTTCTCTATCCCTTTGTTGGTTTCAGAGAAATTGGGGAGGAAAAAATACTCCGCAAAATTTCTTGGGCTGAATCACCACTGTGTTTCCAACGTGTGATGTCAGTGTAGCTCTTGGGGCTGACCCTGGCTTATGAGCAGCACTAAGAGCTCAAAGTAAGGCCCTAATCCAACAAATATTTAGAGCTCTCCTTAGACTTTTATTTGCAAAGTCTTTGCTCTGACATTGTGAGGCACCTGTGAATGTAGCAGACTGCTAGACAGGGAAGTGTTGCTTGGACCTAGAATGGCGCGTGGTTGAAAGCAGAACAGATTGGGAAATCTGAAAATTCGGAGGACCAAAGGAGTGTGTTCTCAGCAGAACTTCTCACAGAATCTTCCACCACTCCCCCACGGTACCAGTTTATTAAAGAGACCTGAAAAAAAAATCCCTAGTTCTTGCCAGCCTGGGTGACTCCTATCAGAGCTATGACAGGTTTATTCCATTTGCAAGTTAGAACAAGTTTCTCCTCTCATTTGAAGGTACATAATTATCAAGATCATCCTTATTGCTACATCTCTTACCATTGCCTATAATCTTTGGGTATTTGCACTTTCCTGGCACAGTCCTGATTGGCAAAATAAAGCTTGCCTGTGTGATAAGTTTAGTGTAAGAGACTCTTCCCATTAATGCTGGATGCCATGAATCAGAGTGATTAAGTGATTTGTCCAAAGCACAAAGCAGATTTAGTGTTTCTGCACTGCAGTCCTACTAAATCATGAATGTTATCAAATTCACAATATTACCTAAAAGTACTAAATCCTAATCTTGTAAATGTGATCTGTTTCTATTTATATTGGAGGCCTCAAACCTTAACCATTTGTATCTTCCTTTTAAAAAAAAGAGATCCCAGTAACTTGAAATTAGGGTAATTTAAATTTTCTTCATGCTGAAAAAGTGTTGTTTGGTATCAGAAAAGCACCTAAAATTTTATGTTTTTCTCAGTTAATCATCCTTGCTTTGGCCAGCTGGGGTAACATACCCTGCTGTGTTTCAGTGAATGAGCTGCAGGTGAGAATGCTGGAAAGGTGAAAAACTCAGCAGAGATAAAGACAAATGGTCAAGCAAGAGGATGGAGATTTGGTCCCTGGTGGCCTCAGTTCTGGTCCTTGCCCTTTGCACGTCTGTGTGAATGGCAGGTGAGAGAGAGGCAGATCTTTGAATGTGCCAGAAAGTTGTTCAGGATGATCCTCTGAGCTCTTGGCTTCAAAGTCAGGTCATACCTTGGAGGAGCTGTTCCTGTCAGAGGAGCACAGAACTGCCTGGCCCTCAGTGCTGACCCTTGATGACTGAGGCTCTCACCCCTCCTGAATGAGGCTGTTAGAGCTCCTACAGTAGTTCCAGAGGTTATTTGGGGAGCAGAGTCATCTCGATGGTGTGTGGACATGGGCGAGAGAGAAGAGGCTGCTCAGGGAGGTGGCTAATACCATCATGGTTGGAAGGACTTTGCTTGGAGCTTCTGCTGTCAGCTAACTGTGAGGTAAGTGTAATTTCTTGGACTACTCCTGCTCTGAAAGTCCCCTCTAGCTGCAGGGGCAGACTGGTATCTCCTTTGCCACAGGGCCCAGTATGATGCAAAGAGATCTCTCTCACCTTTCATGCCTCTGTGCACAGTAGTGCTGCTGGAAGGGGGAAATAAGAACAAAATGAAACTGCTCCAGCACCTTTAGACCTTCCTGCTCACTCTCTTTGCTGTTCCGGTCATCATAATCCCCTCCTGCTCAACAGAAAGTATATTCTCCAGGGAAATGGATCTCCTGTGAATGCCCCTGAGCTTCTGATGGCAAGAGGAATAAGTTCCTTCCCTTTCTAAAATGGCCTCTTCAGTAGATTTACGTTTCAATTTGCCTTTATGAAGCTACTTGGTGACAAGTGGTATTATAACCTTCTCTGAGGCTCCCCACCCAAAGTTTTATGGAAATTGTATGTAAACTTACTCTCAACATGAGTGATAACCATGAGATAGGTCATGCTTGAATTCCATTTTGTTCATGGCTGTCCTGGGGCTCACCAGTGCCTAGTGTCCTAGCAGGGGTTCCCTAAGGCGTGCATCAAACCTGGAGCATCCCAAGGGGTAGGGAATTTAGGAGCAATGGTGACTCATGAAACTTACTGGGTTCCAGCTTACGCTCTCCAAGTCCTCCTGCTGCAGCATCAAGCCCTCCCACATGGCAGTGGAGTTGTTCTGCCACATCAGCATCATCATGACTCTGTCCAGAAAGGAGCTGCCTGCACCCACAGGGAAGCAAATCCACAGTAGCTACTCAGTGCAGAAAACTGTATGTGGCTGCTGTTACAGCCAGGCAGAAATGGACTGGCTCCCAAAATGGGATGGTGAGCTGCCTGGGTGTGCAGTGCAGGAGAATATTACACGCCTCTTCCCTCTGGCGCTGGCCAAGCCCAGCCTGCACCTAGAGCTAACACAGCCAGGGCCACAGCTTTCCCAGGGGTGCCAAGGTGTTGAAAACACACACAGACTTGGTCACGTACTATGGACTGACCATATGCTGCTCCCCTTTGCTTGCACATGGTGCCAAATCCCACTTCCTCTGTTCTTTCTTTTTTTTTCCCTCTTAAAAGGGATTTGTACCTACAAACAGTAAGCTCCCTTGGGACTGCCTCTGCTTCCCCCAAGATCACCACTGTTTGTGTTGCCATGCTGGAGGTGTGAGACTGGGGTGTCACCCAGACACATGACTTTGGGAATAAAGTGATTTATAGCCTGAGCCCTAAATAGGACATGAATCCATGTTTCATTTGCTCCTGGTGGCTTACACTGAGAGATCTGTGCAGGCTACTTCTGTCTTGCTTTTTCTTCCCAACTTTGGTGTAGCTTTCACATCACTGCATATAATTATGCTAGCAAAGAGGGGCTGGAGGGTTTGAAGAGCTGAGGAAGGTTGGCTTTTTCCAGTTCCTGTTAAAGAGGCAGTAACTTCTGCAATGAGTGAGGGAACAGGCAATTCTCCAGTCCCTGTGCAAAGCCAGGGTGTCAGGCCACAGGCAGAAGAAAGAAGCAGCTGTGTCAGCTCCCCAGGTATTTGGGGACCTCTGGTCTGGTGCCACCAAAAAAATCACAGGCATTTCTCATGCACTACCCTGAGAACAACTGGACTGTTTACACCACCATTTTCTGGAATGGGTTTACATGCCATGCATTCAAACTTTAGTTTGCTTTGTCCCAACTTTCCTGTGCAGGCAATCCCTAAGTAACCACGTTGCCCAAAATTACTTGCCCACTTGAATTTGGATAAGTACATGCTTTCCCAGCTGGCTCATTGTTCTGCTGCTAAATATTGCTCAGATATCCTAGCCATGCCAAGCCTGATTTTTATCTGTGGATTCTGCAAGGCAAGCTGTGCAATGCAAATTATTCCGGTGTATTTGCAGGTCTGTGCTGAGGAGGAGATCCCTGGAGCTCGATCCTTCTGTTTCCCAGTGAGTCATTATTGTTATGTAGGTTGTATTGCCCCACCATTTTGAGATATGAAACGCCGGGGTTTTGCAGGTCACTTGTCTTTTGTAAAAGAACACAGTGTCACAAAATCTCTGTGTGTGTCTAGCAGGAAACCTGCATTCCAGTGGTGATCACACTGTTGCTTGTATGCAAACCATTCTTCCAAAATCTCACCCAAAATCTATCTCTAGGCAAAGGCGGTGTCCCTTTGAGGCTTCACGGTGCTCAAGCACTTAAGGAAGGAACTCTGACTGCAGACTGTGACTGTTAGCATAGCAAAGTCTAAGGACATGCAGGCAGCTTTCTGCAGGCCCTTTTGTCTCAAGCAAGCAGTTTCAACCTTTGCTTTCATTTAATAACCCCAACAACCAAGAAAAGGTGGGGGAATCTTTAAATAATTATATGTTCATTTGATAAAGTGCACATAAATGACTGCTTGAAAATTTTATTAACTCTTGAAGTTACATTCCAGTTGCTCTGGTTAGATATCCTTTCTAGACAGAGGAGGCAACTTTACCAGCTGCCTCTATGTGAGAGAGTTTGTGGCTTCTTTACATGGAACAAGGCAAGAATAGGTTAAAAAATCTTCTCCCACATAGTACTCAGCTATCTCTCTGCAGTCAGGCTGGGTGGATTAGCTGCAGTGCCAGGAAAGAATGATGATCCTCCTGCACCCACTTGCCTGTGGGGAGGGCTGACCCAGAAGGGAGCTGTGAGAGAGTAGGGAGTGCTCAGTGAGAGGAGGCACTTCTGCCTTGGGAGCAAATTAGAGCATGTTTGATCACCAGATGGATCTAGGACATCCCCACAAAGCTCAGCTCTGCATGAGAAGTCTTATGGATTAAATGAATGTTTGGATCTGAAGGATCTGAATGCTCATAGCTGCCTCGTGCTTGCTTTGAGTTTACTCTGAGCCAATACACACTGTCGCAGTGATGTCTAGGCCTGTTTTCTCCCAAGCTTGGGTTTTTGCAAGGAAACCCCCGAGTTTCCTCTATTTGCCCCTGCTTCATGTAACCTGCCCTATCCACAGCTGCTGCAGTGGGGAATGATGTGCTAAGGCACGGAAGGACATGTGAGGTGTCACAGTAGCAGTGACCTGGCAAGACAATGGACACGGGTTTTGAGTTTGCCACTGATGATCCCCTGCATAGAGAGGGGTTTTCAGACTGTTCTGGAGGCCCAAACCAGACAGTTTAGGTGATTTCAGCAGAATGCAGCCCAAGATTTGACTTTAACTACCTTTCCTTGTATTCACAACTAGTTTTAAAAATATGCCAGCAGTAAACAGCAAAATGTAGCTCACTTTAGCAAATGCAAGAATATAGGCTCTTCTGTTTTCTCTGTTTTCATGCTTTATTTGACAGTGGTTTTTGACTGACTTCCAGCAAGGCAATAGTCAACCTGACTAGTATTTGTCACCTCCTATGAGCTAAATATGATTTGGATTTTATTTACCTCATAGTATTTCTTTAACAAGATGTGAAACTCACTCTCTGATGTGAGGTTTTCCTGGAAAAAAGAACTCCCCACGTTGCTGTCCTTACACAAAATAAATAAAACCTTTCTGTCTTCTTGCCACATTTAGATCTATATATATCCCTGGTACACAGAGGAGATATCAGCTTGGCAATTGTCACACTGAGGGAAAATAAATGAATTTACAGTAAAGCCTGGTTATTGTTTTTAAAGACCTATTGAAAGGAGAAGACTGTTCTTAATTTTCTCTCATAATCTCATTTCAAGATGTTTAGCTCATAAAGCTCTGTCAGAACATGAGGCCTGGACTTTTATCTTCACTCTCCAGTTGAAAGCCTGGAGGACACTCTGGTTTTTCACTCCTGTCTGTGGTCACGAGGAGAAGCAGTAGCCAATGCTGTGCAGGATCCTGTGGGCCACTGCCGGACCAATTCCTTGTCCAGAAGTGAAAAGAGCTGTTAATCCTGCCTTGTTTGCTTTGCACACCACACCCCTGCTTATTGCCTACAATCTAAATTACAGAGGCGGCCAAACTTGCTTCCTGTTCCAAACAATAGCCCTGGCTGACACATCCCCTCGTAATGCACGGAGCAAAGTGCTGGAATGGCTGTGGGCTTGATGGGCTGGGGCTGTGGGCACTGGTGAGACCCACAGAAGGGTCACTACCTGCACCCCAGACAGGATGAAGAAAAACTTAGGGGCTGCTGGTAGTGTGCTGTGGAAAGAAATGACCCTATGGAAGATGTCAATTAGAGAAAAGATGTCTGGAAATATGGGGAAAACTTCCTGAAAAGAACAAGTATGAACAAGATCATCAAAGGCTTATGAATTTAGTAGGAATTCCTATAGGGAAGCTAGTTTGTAAGTGTCCAGGTGTCTCAAGGTATGAGTCATGCTTTTCTCTGTAAGAAAGATAGTATTTTGTTGCAGAAAATATTTTCATTCAATAGTTTTCATTTGAAGGATCATACATGGGATTATAAGATCTAATTTCCTCAGTTTGTTTTACCTCTTCTAGGAAATGTATGCAACAATCAGAGCTGATGTTACTCCTGTTTAACAGCACTATAGGGAAGAGTTATGCTGCATAGGAGTCCCTCTGCAAACAAAGGATATCTAGAAAACTTCCCAGATATTTCTCAGGACCTGTACTGGATCGCAGACAGATGTCATGGAGGATGTAGGTAAAAAACCCAGCATTTCCATGTATAAAAAATGTGTTCACAGTGTCAGCTGGCATGGGCACGTTGCTGTCCTCAGAGTATCTGGCTACCAATGCTGAAAACTTCTGATTCTGGTATATCATGTGGTCTTGGGGTGTGTAACAGCTTCCAAAACAGGAATTATCATCCTCTTGTTTGAAACAGAGAATGTCACAGTGCATGGACATGGACACTGCTGCTTCCCGGTGTTTCCCCTGGTGAGGTGCTGCTGGTTCAGTTGTTTATGCTGCAGTTGAACTGGGAGAATAGTGAATAGTGCAGAGAAGGGGTGGTGAGTCAGGCCCATGATTAAGTGCAGGAAAACAAGCTGTGTGTGCAAAGTGATCTGGGTACGGAGCTGGAAAATCCATCCGACCCCTTGTGCTGCTGGTTTGAGGAGACTCGTGTTATGAAAGTTCCTGAGCCATTAGTCAGACTTATTTTTCAGGGGATACTGGCATGTTGGGAAACTTTGCATTTACTTCCATTTTAATGTTCTTTTGTTCTGCATTCTGACTCAGAATAATACCTTTCCCTGTGAGACAGAATTACAGCTGGAACCAGAGTACCAGGATACCAGATACCTTAATCCGGTATCTTAGAAATCTGCCTCACTGACAGCAGTTAGAAATCTTTATCTCTACCCCCAGTTTCTCAGGGAATCCTGGGCATATCTTGTGAAGGTTCTCTCTCCCTGTTTTTATCCTTGCTTTGGGATCAGATGACGTCTGGCTCCATTGCTTTCTGAGCCTTTGGATAATTTATTCTTTCCATTTCTCTTCCAGAATGATCTATATGATCCTCCCCTGGGACATTTTAATGTCTGGAATGAACTCCCCCATCTCATCCAGAGAAGACTGAAGCAGATGATTAACTGTAGCCAAATCTACCCCTGTTTCTCTCTAAATTATCCCTTACTGTCTCCTCCTTCCTTCCCTTGGTTTTAACGAACAACCTCATGAAACATCTGACTTCTTGTTTTTTCTAGGGAAAAATTTTAAACAAAACCACATTCAGACACACAGACATACACACACAAGGCAGACAATGAATGCTCAGAGACAACCAGCAGCATGCTCACAGAGGCAGGCTTATATACAGATACAATGACGTAAATCAACACCCAGAAGCATTTATTAAATTACCCAGATATATACACAGAGGGACAGGCAGATGGGTTAAGGCTGCTTTTTTATTGGTGGATAAATGAAAACATCACTTTAATACCCACAGGAGAGTATTTTGGAAAAGCAGTGTCAGCAGCACATATTAAAGATGATAATATCTCTTTATTCACTCTTGCAGACTAATTGGCTTGTCCTAGGAAAGGTCAGCTACTGCTGCATAGCAAGTGTGAACCCATACACATTCATAATCAAAAATCAGTGTGAAAAAAGCATAGCAGTCAATCCCAAAATCATCCCTTGTTCCCAGGCAAAGAATGGTTCCTGGAACTTGCATCCCTGAACTCCCACTTTTGATTGCTCTGGACAGCCATGTCTTCCTTTTCTCTTGCTCAAAGACATGAGAGCAAACTGTACAGTCACAGGAAGAATTATTCCCAGAAGCCAGCTACACAGCTCTTAATGCTTTAAATACACTTTTCCTTGAATGCCCATCATCCTTAATGTATGGAGCATTAGCTCCCACACCAAATTAAGGAGGCATTTTAACCATAGATGTAAGTTAACTGAAACAACTGCATGAATTAAAGCAAATTAAAACAAATGTCTGTCTTTTCAGGCCCACATTCAGGATTTTGCTTTAAAAACTACTAAGCTAAGATAACTGTAATTTCCTTAGATGACCTTGAACTGTGGGACTCATCTGTATCTTCACTATGGTTACAGTGAGGTGTAAGTTACGTACTATGAGGCCTCTAAACATGACAACTCAGCCCCATCATCCCTGCTTACACCTTCCTACCCACTGCCCCAGTCCTGCTAACTTCACCCAACATTTTCTTTGCTTCTTGTTTCACTGTTTAATTCAGATAGTGTTTAGGACTGTAATGATCTTTGCTCTTGACTGCAGGACAAACAAGAGGCCAAACCCCACCTGCCTGCACTCACAAACAAGGCCTGGAACACAGAATGCCTTTATTGTCCTGCTGTTGATAATGATAACCCAACCCTGCTCCATGCTGCCCACGTTGCATCCACTCCCTTTGCTCCCATCACCTGTGTGGCTGTGGTAAACAGATGTAAATTGATATCTGCCTTGGTGCAATTTGCTGATGGAGTTAACCAATCCACAAGATGTTTTGCAGCAACAGCTATACCATCCCTAATGCTCCCAAGGTCTTACTAGAGGCTCAGGAGCTGGTGCTGGATAGCTGGTGTTTTCCTACAATGTCTCATTCTGCATTTTCATCTTAAAGCTTTCTATAGCATTAGTGAAGAGCTTAATCCAAATGTACTCTTTTCAGCTTAGGTATTTCATGTTCTGAAAAAATAGCCTTATATACTGGAAGAAATTTATATATCATAGAAAACACCTCCATTTTGCAATGTTGTAGTAGCTCAGAAACTCTGGTTTTGATGGTCAGCTGCAGCCTTGGGCTCTATTAAAGTTACAGACATAAATGATTTCTTCTTTTTAATGATTTTTTTTTTTTTTGCTTATGATGTGTGATGCATTTCTTCTAGGTATATGGTACAGTCTGTCCATTACTGACCATCTGTTCTTTTCAGAGAATTCTCTGGATTTGTCATCTTCTTGCTATGTTGCATTTCACCTGGTGACTGTCCTAAGCAAATGACTGTTATTTTCTATTTTCTGTTGCCTTTTGTATTGAAAGGCCTTCAAGGATATTATACTTTCAAGAAATAATCTATGCTCTGCTGATGGGCAGGTAAAAATACAAGGTATGTAATGACCAAAGTTCCTTTACCTGTATCTGTGAATCTGTAACCATGAAAGATAACCACATTAAATTGATGCACCTCACTGTCCTTTGTATCTGTTTACTTATACTTCTTAGGCCAGGGTCCGTGTTAGATGTATTTACAATGTTCTTAGGACAACAAAGCCTCCAGCACTGGATGATGTGTATTGTCATCAGACAGGAGCACTTTACTTTTTTAAAGTAAAGTATACTTTATAGCCCAGCTCATATTAAGGTAAGGATAGGACTGTAGAAAAGTGAGAGAGTTTCAGCGGCCTTTTGTGTAACATTGTTTTGAAGGGATTGTAACACAGGATTTTATAATTTCATTATAAAAACAGTAATTAAGGATGTTTTATCTTCTCTTTCTATGACACCTCTTCACCAGAGAACCTGTGATACTAATCCTGCTAATACTTGATGCTTTTTCTCTAGTCTGCTTTTTTTCCTTCCCTTGGTCTTTAAAAAAATAATCCAAGTCTTTCAGCAGTTCATCCACTTCTAATTTCACTTCCCCATTTGTTGGTTCAGTGAGAGAAGATACACTTCCCTAATCTGGTGACTAGTTTTTTCTTTCTTAGCTATTCTTCCTCTGTTTTGGGGAAACTTCACCTTATTGTGACAAGCTCAGAGCTCTGCATCATACCCCATACTTCCCTTTGACTTTTTATATTTGGTTGTGTTACAGTGATGTTTTATATGTGCCAAGAGCTAATAGAGCATTTCAAACTGATTAGCACTTGCTGCTTGGAATGACTGGTAGGATGCAATCTATTGATGAAATAGGAAATATTAGCTGGGGGTGAGAACAATAATGCAGACAGTGTAATGGAAATGGTGACTTTTCACTGCATGCTGCCAAATGATATTTTTTTACATATATCCTGATTTAAGCATGAAAGTAAATCAAGATGACAGCCTGATGAGAGCTCACCTTTTCCAGGGCTTTTTTCATGCCTGGGTGTGTGGGTGGCCCTGGAAAAAGGCCATAAAGAAGAAGTTTAGAACTGCTGTAAGTTGGAACGGTGAAGGTGAGGGATACCTTAGCTGTACTATCTGGTTGGGAGAAGCAAAGTGAAAAAGGAAATTTCAGGCTCTTTCCTCTCTGTATCTTCTGCTTATCTCTTTCCTACTGACTTTAGGGTTTTTTACTGACTTTAGGTTTCTTTTAGTTGCCCTTTTATTTCTATTTGTTTAATCCAGATTTAGACCTGATATTGTAAGAGTTGGGACTTCCTCTTTCCACTTAAATTAATCATTTCACCACAGAAATTCTGTTAATTCTGCTTCATTTCAGATACATTTAACCTACTTTGTATCATGCTTCATCCCACTAAATCAGATCTGGGAAAAGTCAGACTGGAGTGCTGCTCAGATCAGCAGATGGCAGGCTCCTTCTAGCAATTGGTACCACCAGCTTCATCCTACATCCCCCTACATCGGAGCATCTGATGATGACAGGCAGAAAAAAAAGTATTTCTGCATCATGCACTCAAGAGTGTGCACTATGTCAGTGAGGAATCAAAGATATATTTGTCCCCAGGGTCTGCACAGCTCACAATCAGCCCTGTGCTGTAATGTGCATCCACCGGGAAAGCAAGAACCCAGCGACTGAGTAATTTGGAGAAGAGCAGAAATGTGAATGCCAGAGATGTCAGAGAATTGCAATCTCACAGCAGAGTCTGATTTCCCACTTACTACTCCTCTGTGAGGTGTCTTTCAGAGTTACTGTTAGTCTCGGGAGTGGATAATGAGAAATTTGGGGAAAAGAAAGAGCTTCTTGCAAATTCAGTCTTTATTTTCTGTGTCTGTGATCAATGGTGCCCTAATCAAGGCCTTCCTTTCCTCAGGGGCAGCTACTTCTTGCAGAGTGGGTTCCTTTAATCTTTATCTATTTAGGTTTAAATGTCCGTCACCCCTTTTGGGAAGCAATTCAGTTGCCCAAAGTTTTATGACTTACTGAATCCCCTTAACACCATCACACTGATTAATTTAAACAGATACAAATGCAGGACTTTTAGCATTACTGAGACTGGATCTCTTTGATGTTTTAGGTGTTTGCTTGAATGTGTTGTATTTCCCAGTTTCTCTAAAGAGTGGTTTAAAAGTATTTTTAACAATACAGCATTGTTATGAAAATGAGCTGACTAGTGAGTCTGATAGCAGGAATTTGCTCTGAGTCGACAGTGGCAATTTGCAAGCATTGACTAATGAATTCCATAATCCAGGCAGCACCTCTGTGAATAAGGGAAGAAAGCTCCATTATCTCTAATATGCATCGAGGATCCAAACATGAGAGGAGCAGCTGCTGTGTAAGAGTCTAAATGGATATTGAATACAATTTGGGAATTCCTGGTCCTTGTTGCTCTGCTTGGAAAAACCGTATGTATCTCACATCTCTGAACAGACAACTCCCAGGGATGTGCTAAGCAGACAAGAGAAGTGGGTGTTTTTTTGTTACAGAAAGCATGATTGTAGTAGGCCCTTACAGCCTCTGTCAAAAAAATTCAGTGAGAGACAATAAAAGGAGATTTATATTTTCTTTCCTCTTCGATTGACTGGGAAAAGAGTTTGCCAAGTCATGTGTTAATGTTGTAACATGTAGACATGTTAACATGTAAAATGAACCAGGAGTAATTAATAGTGTAGCAAGTGATTATTATTTCTTTTTCTTGTTTTCTCTTTTAAAGCATACAACAAATCCTCCAAAGCCCCTGTGGGCCCTGTGGTCAGCACATCCCTTGTTGAGGCATCTAATTGTCCGTGTCTGGCCCTTGCCACAGCTGCTCTGTTAGTTCCCTCATAGCTTGACAAGTATCCACTGTATGGGTTTACATTCAGACAAGGTGACTTTAGTCTGTATTTTTTTTCCTGCAAAAGTTTTGGCACCTCAGGTGTTTTCTCATGGGTATTCCAAGCCACTCACCACTATGAAATCTGTGCTAGTGGCACTGAGCATTTGACACAAATTGCTGCTTTCTTTTCCTTCACAATATCACATTTCTTTTGTTTTAAGACATGGGTGTAGATGGGTGTTACTATGCTTAAGATGGTATGTCAGGAGACTGCTTCTGTGTTAGCACACAAAAATGATCTCTGCAGAACACCTGATGGAACTGAGTGTAGATCTCCAAGAGACCAAATGCTGGAAATGCATAAAAAGTGGCAGTTTTCTCTTAAGACTGGAATCCCAGGTATTTGCAAGTGTTTCTGTTAATGCTCTTTCCTGGTTTTACAGACATACAACTGAGCAGATGAATATTCTCAATAATATATGTCACAACTGAATTGGTTTTGGAAAAGAGGGGAAAAAAAGTCTGTTGCTGACCCAGAAGTCTTATCTGCTTTAAACTGGCAGGTTTACTTCCAGTGGGTGTATCCATGGTGGGTATATCCCAGGTTTCCAGGCTACAGTGTCTTTCAGGAAGCGATGCTTCTGTTTACAAAGCCTATTATGAAATGGCAATGAATAATAAAAAAAGAGCAAGATACAAAGAAGTGCAAATGAAAGGGCAGAGTCCAGGAGTGGGCAGAGTCCACAAGTAGGGTACAGAACTGGCAGGTGTGTCTGAATTGCCTTTCTGTCAATGTCCTCTCTTCTGGAGAAAACAGTTTTACCTCTGCTCACTTCCCTCCCAGCCCCACGTTTTAGTTTTGGTCCAATTGCACTGATATTTCTGCAGAGTAGAACAAATCTCTATCTCCTTCCCTCTTCAAATTTGACCTGTACCTAGAAGCACTGACTTAAAGGAGCCTCTACTTGGTAGTAGTATCAACAATAAAGAATAAACTATTCAATTTTCACTTTCAGAGGCTGTGTTTCTTTTGTAGCACAGAAATGAGGTATTTTGTAGAAAACCTCACAAATTCTTGAATTATTCAAAACTTCAAAACTGATATCATGCCCAGAAGCACCTTGTGAGTAGCTAGAGGTATATTTTCACTGATGTGCTTTTTATTGTGAATTATTTGCTCAGTGTTTATTATTTAAATGAATGATTGTCTCATATTCACGATAAATTTCTAGTTAGATTTGTTCATTTGGGGGGGAAAAAAAGAAAACATGCAGCAATTCCCCAAACATCACCTTGAAATACTGCCAAGCATGTATACCTGAGATGTCTGTTGTGCTGCATGGAGCCAGAAGAGGAAGTCTGCAAGAACCAAAAAGCCAGGATTGCAACTGATCCAACTTCTGTTTGCTATAATTGATAGGAGATGTGAAGAGGGGTGTTAATTTTAATGTGTTCAGCCCTGGGTCACACACTGGCTATTTACTGCGGGTTGGGTAGCTAATGTGCATTTTGGTGAGCTGGGCAGCCAGCAGCCTGTTTCAATTTCACTTGTCTAGACAGGGTTTTGGGTTGCCCTGTTCTGGAAGGCAATGTGAGATTTCATGCCTTGATCTTATCGTGCTCTGCTGAGTTTACTTCAGAGAGAAGAACACCTGCAGCCTGAGAGTGGGGATTCAGGGAGAGCTGCAAATGCAGCTGAGGATTTGGACCTCTGTCCTTGACAGGTGTTGCTAGGAGTGGCATTTGCAGTGTCTCAGTGGATTTCAACACTTTGGAATGGTGGATTTCCAGACTTGGATCCTTTCAGGTAACTCATGGGTCGATCGCTGTAGACCAGCCTCGATTTTTTGCTGCCTTCTGTGGAATACAAGTGGAAAACAACTGCTCTAATTTGCCAGGAAATTCACTTAAGGACACCAGACTCTTACATAACATCCTCCCGTTGTCGAGCAGCTCTGAGAGAGGAAAACTGTAGTAGATTTAAAACAGTGGTTTGAGCAGGTGGCTCATTTACACAAACTTTCACTGGAATAGTCCCACTTTGGTTTTATTTCTGAGGGAAGTGATGCTGCAGGTGAATGTATGAGAATAGTCCTACTATCAGCACAATTATCATCTGTACCAGAACAGTGCCTTGAATCAAACAAGAACAGGTCTCCTTTGTACCAGGCACCCTATGAACTCCTGGAAACAGACAGTTCCTGCAGTGAAAAGTTGCATCTAAACAAAGATGTCCTTTTCTACTCTGGTTTGCAAGTATTTTTTATTATTATTTTTATTACAGTTCCATTCATATTTATAGATATGAGTAGATGTGGGTTTGTTTCAGGGTAAATGTCTGCATCACTCACCCTTTGCAGTATATGTGTACAAAGCTTTGTGGGAACTGCCTGTAATGTTTACTGCACAATGACCAGTCACTTTGCTTAAGTTCAGGAGGTAAGTGATTACCAGGACTACGAGATACTGACAATTTGAACATCTATAAAAGAGATTTTTGTCTTCCTGTTGGTTGTATTATGTATGTCATTAAATGAGTGGCTTTCTTCTAACCTTTGCCAAGTTACATAATTCTGCATCATTTTATCAACTGATACTTGGGAGTGCTCTGGAGACTTCCTTGCTTTTTATAAATAATTTTGATGCTGACATGCAACAAAAGTATCCCTCAAATTTTCTAGTAATTGATAGGATAAAAACCCTTCCTTTCTGAAAGTGTTTAGACAGCAATTCTCCTTTAAAATGCAATCCTGTTTCAACAGAAGGCTCTGTAACAACACACGTGATGGACATGCTCACTGTAATTGTGGTCCAGCCGGTCATGTATTGTCTTTGACAGCAGCCACTACAAAAGGTTTTATGGCAAAGGCTCCCAAGCCCTTCCAGTAGCAGCTTGCCTCTCCAACAGATAATCTGTGTGTGACTCGTGATGCAAATAGATCAGATGAAAGAGCTTTTTCTGGGGTGGGCTGGTGATGCTGCCTGCAACTACTGGCACTTCTCTTGGCATGGTGACCTATCTGAGAACTATTGCATGGGGACATGCCCCCAGAAACCAAGTCAGGGCACACAGTCAGCTCACTACAGAGCAGACCTTCTCCTAACCTCCCTCAGTCAGAGGTGAGCTTACACTAAAAGGTTTATACTTTCTCTGAATATATTGCAAGCACAATCTAAAACAGCCGTGTAAATTCCTTCTAAATTCTGGACCTTGGTAATATGCATTGTGAAGGGTCTCACAGTTCAATGGCATGTGGATGTATTACCTAAAATGTAATTTTAAAAAATTGGTCCTAAACTGATCGTGCAAATGAGGAAATGGGAAACAAGATCTGAGTTCTACCGCTGAGAAAAAAAGCAAGTATTGATAGTATCATTTCTCTGGGCATGGCATTCATACTGCACATAGCACCCCTCAGCTGTGCAGCGGTTTAGAAGGCTTAGAAGGGAGTCGGTTTTTTCATTGTTTTCTTTTTTTTTAATAAATGATTGTGCTGCTTTGCCGACGATCAGAGGACACTCGACACTCAGCTCAGTGCAGTGGCTTCCAAGGGCTGGTGCACTGGGGAGCACAGCCGTTCCCAGTTTCCCCATAAAGCCAGAGGAAAGGAAATCCCACTGCTGAAGTGCCAGCAGCCTGGAACGGGCTTCCTTGACCATTCTCTGCAGGGGTTGTACAAGAGCGTAACGCTGGAGTGAGGATGCTCAAAACTCAACCTGCGATGATTTGTCACCTACAAGGAGAAGTGGTCACAGCCCCTGCGCCCTGCCCAGGCTCCTGCCAGCGTGAGGGCTGCAGGAAGGGGACACTGACCGGGGACACTGACCGCCCTGGGTCTCCCCCTTCCCTCAGGATGCACCTGGGGGTTCCCCTCATGGTGGAGGGGCCTGGCGGTGCCCGCACACCTCCAGCCCTGCCCAGCCTCATGCCCCGATGAGTCGCTCTAGGGAAGGTTTAGGTTGGACGTTCGGAGGGATTTCTTCATAGAAAGGGCGATCAGACATCGGAACGGGCTGCCCAGGGAGGTGCTGGGATCACTGTCTCTGGAGCTGTTTAAAGAAAAGACGGGACACGGCACTCGGTGCCGCGGGCTGGTCGACGAGGCGGCGTTCGATCACAGCTCGGAGCCGATGATCTCAGAGGTCTTTTCCAGCCCGAACGATCCCGAGGCTCTGTGAGGGGCGCGGCGCTTCCCGCGCACCTCCCG